GACTCCAATAGGATTTAAATAAAATACTGGTCATCTTTGCACAATAATCATTTTAAGGAAAGAATATTATCCAGTATACAGCTTCATTTAGGCAATGGATAAATATATTCTACTGTAAACAGATTTTACAGTGTAAACTGTCCAGCTGTTTTATAGGCATGCCTGTATTTGCAGATTGTAAATATAAGCCAAAGCCTAGAGTTTAAAATTCTCTTATTTTGCAAAAGGCCGGCTAACCCCTACTCTACAAAAATTCCAAAACCTGGAAAAAGTCTTTCTCTTCTTGTTTGACCATATGGCTTCTCAAATGTATTCACCTTTATTCCCTCACTAGTTCCAAACATGTATCATGTGTGCAGTTTGAAATTAGTTATACAGTGACTTGTATGTAGATATTTACATTCTTTTTACTCCAATTCCTCCTGCCTTATTTACAGTACCACAGAGTCCAGGAGCAGTCCCCTTATGTTCAATATTGCCTAAACATAAATCAAAAGATTTTAAGAGATAATTTATTGGGCTTAACATGAACAAAGACATTAACACAGTAGCACCTTGTTAGTTACAAAAAAGAACAATTTTAGATAATTTCTCAACGTGAATTTTAAATGGGTGCACTGCTCACAAAGGATGAAGCCACAAGTGAGTGCTACAGGACATTCCAAATGCTTCACTCTATTATAAATATAATTGTAGAAAGGCTGATCAAGTGGTTAGGGCCCTAGTCTGGGCTGTAGAAGACCTATGTTCAAGTCCCTGCTCTGAGAAAAACTTCTTGTGTGACCCTTGACAGGCCAGTTAGTCTCCCAGGCCCAAATCCACAAAGGTATCTTGCTACTTAAGTCCCAGTTTTGGCTCTACTGTGATCAATAAAAATGGCAAATCTTGCAGGTGCCTACACTCATTTGGTGCCCAAGTTTCAGCTTCTGGGTGTGCACACTGCTGCCTCCCTCTAGGCATCTGAATGCCCATCTGCCATGTAAGCCACAGAGCAATTCAGAAGCCAGAGAAGAAGATAGGGGTTCAGCTGCCTAACTTGTGCTCAGGGCCTGATTTGGCAGGCATGCTCAGAGGTCCCCTTCTGGATTGGATCCCTTTCAAGACCTGGGTGGAGGAGGTGATGATGTCCACTTTATAACTTTTAGTGCAGTGTTTACAGCACTTGCCTGGGATATGAGAGGCCCAGGCTCAATTCTCCCTTTCTCTGCCAGAGGGGGAGGAAGGATTTGAACAGGGGTCACCCAGAGCTACAACCACTGGACTATGAGATAGTCTGATGTAGGACTCCCTCTGTCTCTCCTGTTGAAGCTGTTCCACTGTGGATAAATAGTGAAAGAGTCATTGGAGCAGGAGGACTGGACCCAGGGTCTCCCACCTCCTAGCTGAGTGCACTAACTACTGGAGTACAGAGTCATTCCCTTTCCCATGCTCACACTCTCTCTCCCTCTAAGCCAGTGACTAAGTATTTAACCATAGTGAAACAGTCACTGGGTCAGAGAGACAGACAGAATGACTATGTAGCCTGGTGCTCAGGACATCCCCCTGGGAGTGGGAGACCCAGGGTTCAGTGCCCTGCTCCAGTCACTCCATGCACCTATCTCTCCCCATATATTGTATAGGGAGCCTAGGCACCTTAGTTAGGCTTTGTGGATTGCAGTCTTGTTCCTGTCATTTTCTAGGCACCTAAAAATTAGGTCTTGTCTTCACATACAGTGGCATAGCTGCACCAGTGCAGCTGCACCATTGTAGCACTTCATTGTAGCGCTACTATGTCAATGGGAGAGCTTCTCCCATGGGCATAGATAATCCACCTCTCCCACAGGCAGTAGCTATGTTGATGGGAGAAGCTGTCCCGTCGACATAGCTCTGTGTGCACGGAGAGTTAGGTTGGTATAACTAGGTCACTCAGTGCTGTGGATTTTTCACACCCCTGAGCAACGTAGTCATACCGACATAGGGCTATAGTGTAGACCTGGCCTTAGGCACTATGACGCTCAGTGTTAAAAAAACAAACAAACGCCTCAGTCCTTTTGTGGATCTGGACCTCTTGAAATGGGGACAGTGATACTTCCCTACCTCACAGGGATGTTGTGATGATAAATATATTAAATACTGAGGCACTGAGATACTATGGTGATGGGGGCCATATAAGTAAGACAGGTATAGGACTATGATGGAGCCAATAATATCCTCTAAAATGAATGAAAATAGGTTTTCTATAGGATGGATGGATAAAAACATTATATATAATCAGACTCATTACATAATTCTATATTATGTATATTGTTGATACATACAATATATTCATTCACTAGCCAAAGGAGGATCTGCTGATGTAGTATATCCCATTCACCCCATTCAAGGAGGTGACTGCAACCAACAGAAGCTTCCTCTCTCGGGCACCTACCACCAACTTAGGTGTGGTATCAAAGGAATATTCTCTCTCACACCACTACAAGAGGAGGCTACTGAAAGAGTTATTTTTCCTTTTCCAGAAAAGACAGTAGGGAAGAAATCTGACTGGCGGCAGCTCCCACACTACAAGGTTGTTACAGAGAGCAAGTGGGGACCCCGATGAAGAGGCCCAATACCAGTCTGGCTACTGAAGGATTCAAGCTCTGAGGCATAGTGAACATCATTTCTTTAGATAGGAGCCCAGCAGAGCAGTAGCACTACCAGTCATTCATTATCAAACCTAAAGTGTCTCCCATACAGAGAGGCACAGAAACACAAATAGCTGGTGGGCCACAAATAGCCGGTGGGATATATAATCAGTAAAAAACACAATGAAATCCTGAGCTACAAATGGCTTTGATTCCATTCAACAACTTCACTCTGCCCGGCTCTACTCATTTCTCCCCTTTTATATATGCTTAGTACTCTCTTGGACTGCGATCCCCCCTCTTAGCTACAGCTTTCATTGCAGCTACTGGTTACAACTATTAGAGGTCAGAGTTTGGCACCTGTCATTAGCAGTCACGTACTTTGAAGATAACCAGTGTGAGGGCATGTTAGCTTATTTTTTTCTTTCATTGGTAGTGCATGAGAATTCAGTGATATATTGTTTAATGCATGGAATATACAGGGTAGCTTATTCTCTTAAAAATTGAATAATGATCTCTTTCATATTACAGCAACAGATTATCATGGAAATTTCCATGATAGCTACTGAAGGAGTTCATTAGCACTTTGCTACTCATTTGCTCAGAGTAAGCAGGCAGAGTGCTCCCTGAAGTCAGGAGACAGACAACACAACCAAGAGCAGAACAAATATGTTGAAACTGAAGTAGTAGTTTCACTTTATTAGGTTTGTCAGTAATTCTGTCACTCAGCAGGATGCGTCATCAGAGCCCCATGTAGCACAGCATCTTCTTGACAAGAAGAATCTAATAAATCATGAATAACAGGTATGAGATGAAAAGTGTGATCATTAAGAAACAAAATTAAATACCAGACTCTACACTTAAAATACATCATGGAGCTGATTCACGCACCCTTGAGCAAGGAAATTCTGAGTCAACACATGGCTGGGTGTTCTTATCAATTGTCTTAAACAGTGGATGATCTTCTGAAAAAGTGGGGAGGGGTGTGTGGATATAGATCCTTGTATCACTAAAGACTAGAATTTTTATCATATCCATTAGTAAAAAAAAGTTTCAATGGAGATAGGGACACCGTAAAAAACTAAAGTGATCTTAAGATTTTTGATTTGTAACATGAAATTAATTTTCACATCACTGACATTTTAATAGCCAAGTGAAGGGTCAAATTACAGAGGATTTAAAAATCTTCATATGGTTTTTTGCTTAACATATTTTCTTTCACATATTTGCAAGCACCCTCCTCTTGCAGGGGGAGCTGATGTAACATGACAAAGCTTTATGAAAAGTGAACTCTGCTCATGTACAGTCATCACTGACAGAGGGCCCCACTCTCTGGAAAGGGACGTTTGTGATATACTGCAAATAGGAGTGAAAAATAAGTAACATTCATGTGTAACCAGCACTCAGATTGGGAGGAGGGTGAAGTTTACAACTGATTATGCCACATTTCCACTTCTCATTTCTGCTGGACAAAAACAAGCTGAGGAAAAGGAGCTTTATATCTCATTTTCATGCTACCTATCTCAGCCCTCTGAAACACTGTGTATAGCATGTCAAGTATCCTTTCAGCTGTGTACTTTTCACCTTAGCACCAAAACACACAAACAAATCCCTAAAAAGAAGTAACTGCTCTTAACATTTAGTTTAAGTTAGGGTGGTTTTGGCCAAAAATGGATGAAAAATATTTAAAACACTAGAGAATTTAATAGTGAGGGATTTTGTTTGTTCTTTTGCTGTGTGGCTCAAAAACCAATACCCACACTGAATTAAAAACAAAGCAACTCCAGAAACAAATCAGACCAGATTTTACCCTGTCACAATATGAAATAATTTCTTTACCAAACTCTGCTCTCTGTATTTACAGTATACACTGTTCAGTATGCCATTTTCACAATGAAAGAAAATACTGCCCATATCCTCAACATACTTCCCCCCCCCACATATTTCTATAAGAAGCAAAGAAGAGTCAAGCAGGCTTTGCATACTTAGGATATGGTGTGGCATAACTCCATTCTGAAGAATTACAAGGGGGAACGCATACCCAATGATGGAATTGTTAGCACAAAGAATAACCTGTGTATAGAATGCAATCACATCAACACAGTTCTCCACTGGGGGGGGGGAGGGGAAGAGAGTGAACCAGGTCAGAAAATCACTGCTGCTTCAGTAAGTGTCTGTTAAATATTGATTGGAGTCAGTCAATATTTCGCCTTTCCAAAGAACCTGAAAGTGTACATTTGTTGGCATATGATAGTTGCAAAGTAGGGAAGATAGTGATAAAGAAAAAGGTTATTTATGAAGCAACTGATACACATCACTGTGCTGCACAAATACTACTGAACTAGTACCTAGTTAGTACTTGATATTCATGAAAAAAATACATAGAAAGAATCAAACCTGTGACCAGTTCTCGGATTTCCAAATCTGTAGTCTTGCGGAGCAACCGTACTAATGCTGGGATACCACCACAGTTTTTCAGAGCAATTTTGTTGTCATCATTTGCTTTCCCATACACCAAGTTTCTCAAAGCTCCACAGGCACTACGGTGGACTTCTGTCATTCGATGATCCAACAGGTCCACCAGTAACTGTATTCCTCCTTGTCTTCTTATCTGAAACAGCCAAAAGTGACAACCATGATATTAGGGAATGAGCAGGTGTAGTGCACACATTATTCAGCTTAATAAACAGTGGTTCTCAAATTAAGGGTATGCATAGCACTTGCTTGTGGTCCAAGAAGAGCTGCAAGTTCATATGGTGCTGGCTCCGCCCCTTTGACAGCACTGAAAGCAAAGCTCTTTGCAGTGAAGATCCTGGACAACTGTTAAAGCAACTGAAACAATGAGGAGCCAAAACAATTGCCTCAACAAGGGACTTCTGCAATTGTCCGGTAAGCCTAATTTCATTACTAGGCAAATTGGTTGAAACTATAGTAAAGAACAGAATTGTCAGAAACACAGCTGAACACAACATGTTGCAGAACAATCAACATGGCTTTTGTAAAGAGAAATTATGCCTCACCAATGTATTAGTATCCTTTGACGGGGTCAATAAACATGTGGACAAGGGTGATCTTGGGGATATAGTATGCCTGAACTTTCAGACAGCCTTTGACAAGGTCCCACACCAAAGGCTCTTAAGCAAAATAACCAGTCATGGAATAAGAAGGAAAGTCTTCTCACAGATCAGTAACTGATTAAAAGGTCGAAAACCATTTCAACATATTCATTACTGATCTGGAGAAAATGGTAAACAGTGAGGAGGCAAAGTTTGCAGACAATGCAAAATTACTCAAGATAATTAAGTCCAAAGCTGACTGCGAAGAGTTATAAGGGATTTCACTAAACTGGGTGGCTGGGCAACAAAATGGCAGATTAAATTCAATGTTGATAAATGCAAAGTAGTGCACATTGGAAAACATAATCACAACTATACACACAAAATGATGGGGACTAAATAAGCTGTTACCATTCTAGAAAGAGATCTTGGGGTCATTGTGGATAGTTTGATAGTTCTCTAAAAACATCTGATCATTGTGCAGCATCAGTCAAAAAAGCTAACAGAATGTTAGTATCCATTGGGAAAGGGATAGTTACTAAAGCAGAAAATATCATAATGCCTCTCTGTATAAATCCATGATATGCCCACACCTAGACTACTGAGTGCAGGTCTGGTCACCCCAGCTCAAAAAAAAAAAAAAAAAAAAATAAGAAAAAGTAAAGAGAAGCCAAAAAAAAAAAAAAAAAAAAAAAGAATTGGAAAAAGTACAGAGAAGGGCAACAAAAATGATTAGAGGTATGGAACAGTTTCCATATCTGGAGAAGTTAAAAAGTCTGGAACTAAGCAGGGATATAATAGCGGTTTATAAAATCATGAATGGTGTGGAGAAAGTGACTAAGGATGTGTCACTTCACATAACACATGAACCAAGGCCCACTCAATGAAAATTAATAAATAGCAGGTTTAAAACAAACATGGGGAGTACTTTTTCACATAACTCAGTCAACCTTTGGAATTCATTTCCAGGGATGTTCTGAAGGCCAAAAGTATAACTTGGTTCAAAAAAGAATAAAATAAGTTCACGGAGGATAGGTCTATCAATGGCTATTAGCCAAGATGGTCAGGGATGCAACCCCATGCTCTCGGTGTCCCTAAACCTCTGACTGCCAGAAGCTGTGAGTGGATGACAGGGGATGGATAACTCAGTAATCGTCCTGTTCTGTTCATTCCCTCTGAATCGTTTGGTACTGGCCACTGTCGGAAGACAGGATACTGGGCTAATGGACCACTGGTCTGACCCAGTGTGGCCATTCTTATGTAGTAAATTATAATTATTTGTTAAAGTATGATTAATGTTGTGTGTGTTCATACATTTAGTCCGTTTATCTGAAACCAAGAATGGAAGACGCTTTCATCCCTTTTAAAATATGTACCTTTTTCAGTGTCAAAATTTGAGCATTAAAAATTATATGCTGGTGAAATAACAGTCATCACTTTTCTGTTCCCCTATGTACTATGGCACATCATGACATCACTGTTTTAGGATATGAATCATGTAATACAAAGTGCCTCAATAGAGAGATGCAGGTACATCGTGTTAATTTACACATTTTTTTACTGTTTACAGAACAGAACATTCTTGTCTATATGATATTCACATTACAAAGAATAAAGTATTTAAATTAAAATAGTAATTATTTGAAGATAATCTATATTTTCCCCAGAGTATTAATTGCAATTCAATGTTCCCTACATGGTGTTCACCTGTCTAGGCATTCTGTAGACTATCTATAAAGCACAGTGGTCAGTGGTAAAACCAGAGGTTGGCCATGGTTGTGGCTGGATAATGGTACATAACATCAGACTCATGCCAGGAGTTCATTCATCTCTCTGTCACTCTGTGCTTGTGCAAGCTGGAGGAACACCGATGCCTCTCAGTTCAGAAAACACAAAAATAGATCAAAAATAATATGTTCTGCAATATATCTGACTGATCTAAAACTCAACTACTGCAAATATGATCATTTGCAATGCAAGATATTTGCCACTTTCTAAATCAGATACATTTACTGACAAGAAACATTCACTTTTGAATCCATCACTAACCTTTTGAAACCAACGTGTCAGCTTTTTCTAATATATCATATTTTCAAACCTGATGTGTTGCATGAGGAACAGCTATATCACCCACTTGACACAATATGCAACATTTGCTGAAATAAATCGACTCAGAACTGAACTTAATATATCAAGAACTAAACTTGATACATCAATTCAGTAAAAGGTACATGAAGTGCTGAACTCGATATTTCAGTCTTCAGAGAGGGATGCTTATGTGATTTGATGGAAGATAATGAGAGAAAACATTTGGATTAAAAGCAAATATACCCAATGTATCACTCGTTTTGCTATGATGTGTGACATCAGTAACAATGGAATAAAAAACAGAGACCATAGGGTTTTAAAATAAAATATGTGCAAAATGATTTTTGATAAATACTTCAATGATTGCTTAGAAAAAGATTGAAATAGTGATGGGAACAAAAAGGAATTTCAAGCAAGTACACCTAGAATAAACATGTATGTGATATAACTCATCTGATGACCTCAAAGGGCTCTGTCACGTTCATGTATGCGCTGCATCTGTGATCTCTGTCCCAGTCTCTGCATGGACACTATTTCCAAGTGACAGCCTTCTATCTGCACCTCTCCCAGAGTGGAACCCTGTGATTCACGCTGCTCTAGACTGGATCATCAGGATACAACCCCCCTCCCTAAACACACACACTTTTTACCAACTGTACTGTTACAGTTACAGGGAGAATGGTGCCTTAGACCCCATTCCCCCTTTGCAATCCTTCTCGAGTGCACTGCTTAGGTTTTGCTACCTTCACCTCTCTCTGGATGGAACCTGCAGTTGCACCACTCTTAGGCTGGATCCCTACGTGGCAGCCCCGTTTCCAACCATGATAACTCAGCAGGCCCAAATGGATTGGGGGGCCTGCAATCAACTTCCCTCTAGGAATATCTGACCAGTGGCTGATTAAAGTGATACAAAACCGATTCTTCAAAACAAATGTACTGTACATTCACCCAAACATATATAGCAATCGGAGAAAAGTAAACAACACAGCATGATAGGCACAACAATAATAAATAATAATAATACCACCTAGCTCTTATATTGTGTTTTTCCATCAGCAGGGCTTAAAGTGCTTTACAAAGTAGATCATTATCCCCATTTTACAGATGAGTAAACACAAGCCTAAATACCTTTGATCTTACCTCAACCTTAACATTCCCTCGCACGTTTTGGTAAGTTCTACTTAGGTCAGGTACCTGCACCTCTGGGCTGGGAGAGAGAAACTCTCCTACTGCAAACGCTGTTGTCAGTCACTCTACATCTGTGTCTCCCATCAGCAACTTTCCTTGAGCAGCTGTTGACAACTCATCCGCTCCCAACTCCCTTTCTCTAGGGGGCCTTTATAAGCATTTTGTGTCATTTTGATCTCTAAGCTTGTTGCCTCGACAAAGCAGCTGGGTCACTTGTACTGGAGCCTGGAAATCACCTCTTCACAGCTCGGCTATTGACTTTCGAGGGTTTGCCGTCCTGTTTCTTACCTGGACTATTGTGTTGCCTCCCTACTTTTTTACCCAACAGCTCACTATTAAACGGCACCAGTAAATTCCCACCTTCCAATAGCGCAATATAACTATGCATTGACTATCTTAATAGGTAGGTCACATAATCATAAAATTAGTACAGACGAACCTCCACAGGCTCTATAAACATTAATTAAGACTCTCGTAACCCTCTTATGAGGTATAATGAAGGATTATTACCTCCTGTTTACAGTTAGAGCAACTGAGGCACAGGAAAGTAAAATGATTTGCTCATGGTCCTAGAAGGAGTTTCAGACATAGCTGGGAGAAGTCATATATCCTGAGTTCCAGAGGCAAATACTCAGCTGGTGTAAATTGTTATAACTCCACTGACTTCAATAGAGCTTTGGCCATATAAGTACCTAAGGTAGAGAGATATATGATGATTTGCGCAAGCTAAGGTTAAGAACCTACTCTACACTGACATGAAAACTGACAAGGGTTTGCGTTGTGCCTGTCTTCAGGTGAGATGATGAGATAATTGTTAGGTATAATATTTACTAATATACAAGTGGCTACTTTTTTACTTCATTCACAAGGCAAAATGACCATGTATGCAGACAGGGTGTTTGCTCACCACGACAAATGATTAGTGTAGCACTGGATCATCTAAAGACTCAAGGGCCAAACTCTGCTCTCATTTACACAAATCAATTGCAGAATAACCCACTGGAATTACCTGTATTATATCAAAAACATAACCCATACCTGCTACTTAAGGAGGTGGTCTTGGAATAATCTTCACTTTGGCCAGGCAACAAGTTACAGTAGCAATAATTGATATATTGATGTTCACCTATATCCACAACTCTGTGTGTATATATGCTAGAGCCACTGAACTGCATCTGAATGCATTCACATGTAACGACTAAACAACTTCTACATTGCATCACTATTTTCCTAACAGTGTGCTCCCTATTGTCACATAACAGGAGTCTTCTGGAAAGGT